CGAGGAACATCAGAGGCTCAGCGCCTTGTACGACAAGATCGTTGACGTTCATGGCGACGAGATCGATACCGACAGTGTCGTGCTTGCCCATCTCGAACGCAATCTTGACCTTTGTGCCGATACCGTCGATAGCGCCCACGAGTATGGGTGCCTCGGTGTAGCCAGCAGCTTGCAGGTCGAGCAGACCACCAAATCCACCGATCTTGCCATCGGCTCCAGGGCGTTTTGTGCTAGCCGTCAACGCCTTGATCTGCTTCACGAGCTGGTTGCCCGCGTCGATGCTCACACCCGATGATGCGTATGTCAACGCCTCGCCAGCTGGCTGTGAGGTGCTGGAAGGGCGTGTCACAGTGGTGCCCTCCTCGGCCGGCTCAAGGAGCTTCCAGTCGCATGTTATGCCTTCCTTCTTGAACTCTTGTAGCAGATGTTCTGCGATCTTGTCGAAGTTCTCGGTGGCGAGTGCGAGGATGGTCGGGCCGGCGCCTGAGAGACAGATGCCCAGCAGGCCGGGGTGTGATTGTGGGGTAACGGATTGGAGGATTTCGGTAAGACCGGGGATGAGGCCGCGACGGTAGGGTTGGTGGAGCTTGTCTTGCATAGCTGTGTAGATCATGTCGGGGTCTGGTGTGGCTTGACCGAGTGCAGTGGTCAGGACAGCCAGTCGCTGCATGTTGAAGATGGCGTCTTTGCGCGAATACGATTCAGGCAGTACCGCACGCGCCTTGGCCGTCGAGACCTCGAATTGTGGGATGACGCATATGCACTTGATAGCGGGCGACCAAGCAAACTTGGTGTAGTGTCCGATGTTGAGGGGAGGCTCGGGTGGCCGCAGACCCGTGTCTACACCACCTGCAGGTTGCGGGAGGACTTCGCTGAGGGGAATTTCGAGGCGCTCGGTGTCTTCGGGCGACAGTTCGTTGAGGTATGTGCCGACAAAGCCTCCATATAGCGCTGCTGCGACGTTGTCTGGGTGACGCTCTTCCATCAGGCAGTAGTCGAGCATGCGCGCTCTCGAGAGCCCAAGGTTTCCGACCTCATTCGCCAGATATACACCTCCTACAATGGCCGCAGCCGAAGAGCCCAGTCCGCGTCCTAGTGGTATCGGGTTCTTGACGTGGACGTGTGTTTCCGAAGGGAAGTCGCGAACGCCATGGCAGCGGAGCACATATACGGCGGTTCGCGTGATGAGGTTGTCTTGCGCGGCGAGCGGGACATCTTCGGCGCCTACGCCTTCATATGTTATCTTGCAGTTGAGCGAGTGCTCTGATTTCTCCTTCTTGGTGACTGTGACCTCGAGTTCGAGATAGAGGTTGAGCGCAAGGCCAATGACGTCAAAGCCGGGGCCGATGTTGGCGGACGAGCAGGGGATCTTGATGTGAGTAGTCATATTGGACTACGGAGCGCCTGGGGCTTGACGTGATGTCTTGTTATGTCGTCGCGCAAAAAATATTGGACCAGCGCATGGGAGGGATGAAAAAGATCGCGTGGGGCTCAAACGCCGACGCCGGTCGCGGGGTACATAGCGCACCGCCACACTTCATCTCTTGCCAGCCTCGCGACGCGTCCAGCTACGCGCAGACCACCAAGTACTCCATTCCATCTCATCTCATCTCTGCATTCGGCTCCCCATTTCTGTCACCACAGTGCGATCGCATGCATCAGCTTGTCGGTCCAAGCCGTGGTCTCTCACACAGCCGAGCAGACGTACAGACACCGCGATCCAGAGGGGGAGTCGCGTCATCGCGTTCGCTATCAGCAGTAGTGGACATGATGCATCGCAAGCGTGGCTCGAATATGGTGAAGGCAGAGAGGGACTTGGGTGAGGCTGTGCAACACGTCTCCTCGCTTTGGTGGCATCTAAGAGCTGCAGTGACGCCACCGCTGACGCCTTGTGTGACCCGACGGCATTGCCAACGCATAGCCCTCTCAGTACTCAGGTAAGCAAAGATCTGTGTGAAAGCCGCTCACAGTAGTTGAAATCGACAACTTCGCAGCCCTTCTGCAAGGGCTTTCGCTACCAGACCCGCAGCAGGCAGACGTTCCACGATATCGCCGCACGACCAGGCAACAGGAAAGGCTGACCGGTTTTCTTGGCTGTCTACATATAGCCTTGCGAAGTACTTTTTGCGTGAATTTCAGTTCACTCACCTTCTTCCTTTACGGTCATCTCTTACTTGAATAATCGGAGTGAATTGGGACTCCCTTTATCGTTCAACTGCTTCGATAATACGGTGAAACGAAGCCTCAGCTCCGCTCGACTAGCACGGCTCCCAGGCTCTCTTACAGCACTACGCTCTCACTTTTTCCTCAACCCACTCAAAGCCTTTACTCCCCCCACCCACTCAGCATACCATTACAGTACTTCAAGCAAGCCGATCTCGAAGGACATCCGTCGCCTCAGTTCAGTCCGTCCCAACAGCACTCGTCATGTGCGACTCGCCCACTGAAGAGGACGCGCGCGCTGAACAGTTGGCCTACTTGCGCCAGCTCATGGCCCTGGAGCAACGCAATAGAGCTAAGCGCGAGGCTCGCTCCCCATCGGTCTCCTCTTCATCATCCGAAGAGGATAAGCCAGCCGCAAAGAGCAAGTCAAAGACAAAGACCAAGACCAATGGTGTCAAGCACGTTCTTGTCAACGGTAAAGGTCGAAAGCAGGCTGAAAATGGCGCCACCGATGAGGACATTCCGGAAGACAAGGCCGAGGACAAGGAGCTCTACAAACCAGGAATGAAGAACGGTCTAAAGCACCTGTACTCCGGAAAGGAAGATAAGAAAGGCCGCTTTCAGTGGCAAGAGGAGATCCCCGAGGACCTTGGAGAAGCCGTCGAGAACGACGAGACCGCAAAGTGGGCGTTGCTCGTACGAAACGTCAAGGTTTATAACGATCCCCGACGGGTATTGTCTGTTCACTCGATTGTCGTTCAGAGCCCGCTGCTGAAGAAGCTGCTCGCTGGTGTACTGAAGAACTACCCTGGTGTCACCGTCGGCCTCAACCGTCTCGAGTTCCAGGGCAAGTTTGAGCCACTGATTCATCGATGGACTGAGTTGCAGGACGCTATTGCCAAGCTTGGCGACGAGACAGAGGATAAGCGCACGACCAAAGCCCACGCTGAGTTGCTCCAAGACATTCTCACCAAGGAATTCAAGAGCATGATTGATACCTCCCAGGACATGAAGAACAAGAAGGTTATGACATACGAACATCTTTGGACGCTGTATCAACCTGGAGCGACTGTTTTTGCTCGACAGGACGGTCAAGAGACGGCCATGATTTTGGTCGAGACGCGTTATGGACAGGATTGCAAGGGTGCACCCTGCTTTTGGCTGACGTGCAAGTATGTCGATTGGGATGGCGCCAAATTCGGTTCCAACAAGATCAACCTCTCCATCGCCGCCTATACCGGTACACGCGCTATCACCAATCTGCGTGTCTACCCCATCGAGTTCCATCCCGAGGGCGAAGCTATCCGCACTCGCCTCATTGAACGGGGTGCCAAAGCAGAAACTCTCGCTGGTCCGAACTATAGAGCATACCAAGGTGTTGCATGGAGGCAGGGTGGATTCGGGAACAAAGACAAGTACAACGTGAAGGGTCGGATAATCATCGATACCTACGGCTGGAATCGTTTCGACCCCACTCATTCGGTCTTTGTAACGCCACTGAACCAGAAGGATCCTAGCCCGCCGCCAGTCCCTCCTATTCCGGGGCAGTACGACGAGGAAGAAATTGACGAGTGCCAGGATGAGTTCGAAGACGAAGACGACAGTGGCATGCCATTGGATGGCGCATTTGCCGACGAGGACGATGCAGCCAAACACGTTCCTTTGACAACTGAACAAAAGCTTATCTGCACACCTCTACTTCGTGGTTACAGCCTGAAGAACAAGCTTTGGCTGAACTTTTTCGTAAACTGTGTTAAAGACATTGAATGGCAAGACGACGCCTTCGATAGACTGGTCCTCCCTAAGAACCAGAAGGAACTAATCCTGGGTTTTACAGAGTCTCAGCGAAAGTTCCGCGATACGTTTGACGACGTGATCGAAGGTAAAGGCAAAGGCATGATTATCCTACTCTGCGGCCCACCCGGTGTGGGTAAGACTCTCACTAGCGAGTCAGTCGCCGAAGAGATGAAGGTACCTCTCTACATGATGAGCGCCGGAGATCTCGGCTTCGATCCTAGGAAGGTAGAGACCAAGCTGCAAGACATTCTCGAAATGTGCAGTCGCTGGAACGCGGTCCTCCTCCTCGACGAAGCCGACGTCTTCTTGGAGCAGCGCTCCCTCCACGAGCTCGAGCGCAACAAACTCGTCTCCATCTTCCTCCGCGTCCTAGAGTACTACGAAGGCACCATGTTCCTCACGACCAACCGCGTCCAGACCTTCGACCCAGCCTTCCAATCGCGCATTCACATCTCGCTCGACTACCCCGGTCTCACCATCGACTCCCGCAAGACGGTCTGGAAGAACTTCCTCGATTCGTCGTCGCAGGAACATACTATTTCCAAGGCTGAACTTACGGAGCTGGCGCGTATGGATCTGAATGGACGGCAGATTAAGAATATCCTCAAGATCGCTAGGTTGTTGGCTAGTCGCAAGGAGGAGAAGCTTAGTCGGGAGCATATCACTACTACTATGGATGTTACCCAGCATCTCCATAACGAGACGCAGTTTAGTGAGCGTACCAAGGGCACTTTGTATGGTTAGTGCGAAAGGATGACGGCATTGGTGATTGGACTGGCTTTCATTCATTCATGGGTTATTGGTGGATCTAGACACCAAGCAAGTAAGAGATCGGCCTATTCGAACATGTTCGGTGTCTACAGGAGCTACATCGAGCACCCTCTTGATCAAGATCTAGGGGGTGAATCATACGTAGAAAATGCTACCAAATCACAAAATGGAGGATATGATCAATGCCGACTTCATGACTGTACTAATGAGTGTTGGAGTATCAAGACCTAGTATGTATCTGCTCAGCAACAACTTGCTCCGCCATCATCTCACGGCTTAGCATCCCAACGTTTGCAAACCCAATCATAGGCATGCTTCAAAAACGGCTCTTCATTTTCATCAAGCCAATAGTCGAATCCATGACCCACTTTCTCACTGACACCGCGATCTACCTTCTCCGTCTCAGAGTTCCATGTCGGCTTCGTCTGCAAAGACTTCACGATACTCATATAGAGCATGTCATTTCCCTTGAAACGATCGCCGTAGAGTTTTGAGTCTCTCAGTGTATCGTAGAATTTTATAGTGTCCTTGATGTCGCAATTCGGATCGTCCAATCCATGGAAAATGTGAATTGGAGGAAGTAGGTCAGGCACAACATCTTGGTAGGTATACTTTGCGCGCTCTATACCATCCATGTAATCGGTATCTGTTGGATCGGCCAAAGAACAGTCGCCATGCTTGCGTCGAAGAAGTCCCTTCCATGTCTGGGTTATGGAGAGTATGAATGCGAAGGCCATGCCTTTTGAGGGCCAACGAGACGTTGTGTTTGGCACGACGCCTCTCTTCTCGAGCTCTCTGATAACAGAATCAATATCTTGTGCGCGTTCTTTGACTTCCTCTTCAGCGAACCATTGCCCCATGTAGGCATTTTTCCCGTTTTGAGCAGTCTTTTCCCAATCTCTTCTGTAGTGTGCAATCATTGGGTAGCGAAGGAGTGCTACCCTGATAGGCAAGTTAGGTCCACCCTTTGTCGCGTTGAGCCACATCGCAGTGACAGCAGCTTGTCCACCAGCGCTCTCACCCTCCACATATACGCGATCCTTGTCGATGGTAAAGTGTTTCCCTTTCAGTTTGTCTTGATCATGCAGCCACCGTGTCCAGCTTGTGTAATCAGACTCGAAGCAGCCGTCTTCTTTGTACCAGTTGAGGAAGTCACGGATACTTTCTACTATGTCCTTGTAGTTTGCTTCGGGTGCGAGTGGGTATTCTGGCGCCATTATGATGGCACCTCGTTTTTTAGCTTTCTTAACGGCAGTTTCTGAATACCATGGGTGATAGTCGCCAGCTCCTGTGCACTAGTGTTTCGTAAGTATTATTTGAAGTGTGTCATGTCCGTAAAGCTACTCACATAACCGCCGCCATGAAACAACCACATCACGGGAGCTTGGTGTTTCTCCTTCATCTCTTTTGGAACGAGGATATTGACCGCCATCGGCTCCCTGTCCCAATGTTCAGAGAATGTATAGTCAGTCCGGAACTGGTGAAAGCCCTGATCTCCAAACCATGTGAGCGGGCGGTCGAACATGGCAAATTCTTTTTTGCCTTCGACAAAGATGTCATCCCGTGTCATTTCTTTGCTCGGCCATGTGTATAACTTCTCTAGGTCTCGCGTAACCAGCTCGTTAACACGGGTCTTTTCTTCTTGTGCTTCATTCACGATTTCCAAGGCCCCTGAAGGCCATTTCCACTTCCGAGACTTGTCTTCTGTTGAGAAAATCTCGTCGAGGGCTGCTTCGCGTTTTTCGTTGCGCTCTTGTACACCGTTGAGCAACTCCTTCTCTTCGGGTGTCCATGTGGGCGTCCAAGTCATGGTTGGGTTGTGGGTGATCGTCGGTCGATATGGGAGTATTAGCTTTCTAGGTGAATTGAAGATTCTGTAACGTTGTTAAGCTCTTCGTTATGTTGTCGCTGCTCGGTGTCGGATTGCAAACTTCAAGTAGGCACTTCTTGAACTTATATACTCCTGATTGACTCACATTTCCTCCCAGTCACCCCCAAAGAGTCACAGTCGACGCATATAGCCACCAGTCAGCCCGCGTTCGACTCTCGAGGAGTCAAGCCGACGTTGGTATGCCATGTCCACCCACTGCTCTTCGTACGTTGTGCCATGTGATCGTGCACAGCGGGAAGCCGTGCGTTGTGACTCCATCGTCCGGGTACCGTCATAAAAGTACTTCTCGTAACACGTTATCGGGTGTGAAGTGTCACACTGGACCCAGGGTTTCCGTTACTCTCGGCATATAGGCCCCTCGTTGTGACCGCGACCATGCCGTGGGGGACTGTATAACCTCGAACCTCCGGTATCGCTCGTGGGTATTTGTTCCTTTGTTGCCTGTCGCAGATAACAAGACTTTGTTCATCATTCTTGTTGTAGCTGAGGTCGGAGCTTGGACCAACTATTGTAGCTTGAGTTGATGCAGATGATGGCTGACGAGAAGGGGTATGTCCGCTATCTCGCATCACCTTTTCCAGTTTTGAAGCAAGACGACAGGGCTGGTGGTGTGTTTGTGAATAATCAATCACCGATTGGTTCTTCCATTCCAAGGTGTCATCCGAACGTCATGGCCTTTCTTCCACCCAACACCCGCCGCTTGGTCTGCGATACCGTGTGAGCTCGTAATGTAGCGAGAGGTATTATGACCGCAAAGTGTTCAGCTTCTAAGTCGCGAATGGAGCATGTGTGGCATGCGAGGAGTTGCAAAGGTGATGAGACGTGAGATCCGACTCTCCGCATTGGCGAAGGTCGGCATGGGTGGTCAATGCTGAAGCTTCCCATGTGAGGCCCCACTTTCAGTAGACGCGTACGTGAGGAGCGATCTCTAGCGGATGGCGTTGTTTGGGTGTGACAGGCAGACTACGTAGCGTACCGTTGTGTAGGGAGTTCTCCGCGTTCGACCGGACAATTAGTCCATACCCCAAAATGTATCTTTGTTAAGCGCAGATGAGAGCAATCACATGACAGCATTACACATGAATCAGTTTAAGCGTGTGAGCATCTCACGCTGGGGTATTCATTACTCGCTCAGAGAGCTTCGTGTGCTATTTACACTAACGAACGCATTACATAGTCCTATGTTAAGTAGAACTGGACCTTCAAATGATCTGACTAGTTTGGATCCGGATTTACGCAGTCGGGACAGCGCCAGTAGCGTAGCCTTTCTCGATAATTGGAGGGGGCTTGGGCACATTGCGGCGGAGAACCGTCTTGTTGATGAAGTAAGGCACCGACTGTGTGATCTCGTAGTGGAGGTATTGCTTGGTGGGTACACTGAAGACCTGGTCCAGTTCTTCAAGCGTGAGCTGCTTGGTCTCTCGGACGAAACAGAAGATCATGAACCAGGCGATCAAGTTGAGGCCAGCGTAGAATCCGAAGGCGCCGGTCTGCGTCATGACTGACACCATACGAGGGAAGGTGAGCGACAAGACTCCAGCGAAGGTGTTGTTGATGCACACTGCCCAGGCCATTCCCTGCTCACGCTGGATGGTAGGGAAAACCTCAGCAGAGTACTGGAATGCAACTGGCCCTTCTCCGAGCGAGTACATGATCGTGAAGAGGTAGATGAATAAGACGATTGGTCCGAGTTTAGCAGCTTGACTACCACTGTCGTTAAGGAGGGACAGACCGCCAGCCAGTAGGAAGATGCACATGAAGGGGAAGGTCTAGCACACAGTCAGTACAAGATCAGTCGCGCAAAGGTTGGGAAGTACTTGCCCACATGCAGAGGGTCCTTCGTCCCTTGGTGTCGATGAGGAACAGAGTAGGAATCGTGGAGACGACCTGAAGAGCTCCGTAGCCCAGAGAGGCGTACAAAGCCTGGTCATCGGTAAAGCCGACCTGGGTGAAAATGGTCGAGCTGTAGAATGAGATGATGTTGATACCACACATCTGCTGGGCAATCATGACAGTCGAAGCACCGTAATTGGCACGCCTAATTCGAGGCACGCGGAAGCAGTCCCACATGCGGTCGAAGTAGCCAGCTCCACGTGCAACGGCGAGCTCAGTTTCATAGATGACGTATGAGTAGTAGTAGTCGCGAGCAGCAATGATGGGGTGTGCGCGCAGTCTGGCCATTGATCGGTAGCCTTTGGCAATGTGACCATGCTTCATCAACCAACGAGGAGACCTAAAAGTGTTTGTTAGTATATGCTTGACATGATTGAGCGTGATGGATTTCACTTACTCTGGGCAAAAGAAGATGCCAACCATGAGGATAAAGGATGGGATGAAAGCAGAACCGAGTTGTAGACGCCATGAGATAGCTCCGGTATCCTTGACAATGACATTGGCGCAGAAACCGAGGAAGATACCTGTGAATAAGAGTTAATAACATGTCGTTGACAACGCGGATGGTACAACTTACCAATGACAACCCACAGCTGCCAGAACATGACCAGGGCACCGCGAATTCGGTGAGGCGCAATCTCAGCAGAGTAAATCGGGACAGTGGCGTTCTTTGCACCGATTCCAATTCCCATGATGAAGCGCGCAGCAAAGAGCCCTTGCCATGATTGCGCACAAGCAGAACCGATGGGGGTGGCAGTCAGGCAGATAGCGGTGACGAAGATTTCTCCACGACGACCGAGATACTTGTTGAGGGGGTCGACGATGAAAGCGCCGATGAGACCAGCAGTCAAGAAGATGATAGAGTTGATAAGTCCGATGATCCATTCGCCCCTGTCCGATCCGAGAAGACCGAATTCCTCAGGGAAGGACAGGTTGGCTCCGTTGGATCCAGTCTGGTCCCAGCCCTGAGTGGCGGCTCCGATGGCACACAGACCAATCGAGTACCACATCATGGTGGGACCGAACCACTTGTGGTCGCGCTCGTAGATGAGAGCATCGCGCTCCTCCTGGGTAAGGTCGGTGAGCATTTCGAAGCGCTCAGGATCACGCGCGATCAGGGCGGCCTTCCCGAAGAGGGCGGCGTGCTCATCCAAGCCATGGGTGGCAGCCCATCGCTCAGCAGCGCTGACACACTCGGCCTTTGACTGGCGGGTTAGAGGGTTCTCGATGATGTTGTGGGCGACAGACTCGCGGCGGGCGCCTGTATCAGCGATGTGCTCTGCGGTGGGCGTGTAGTGAGGCTCCTTCTCGTTGGCCGGGTCGTAGGCAGCTTCCTTCTCAGCAGAGTAGGCTACTTCCTTGTCAGGAATGTGGCTGACGCCAGTGTCCTTTGCGTCCATGGTGGAGTGGATGTCTCGCAGGCTCCGACGTTAGTAAGACAAGTTGCAAGGAGTTGCGGAGAGCAGTGGAGTGGAGGTAGAGAGAAATGGCGGGGGAGATGAGCAGTCGATCTTATACCTGGGGGAGTCCGGAGTGAGAGGGAGGCCTAAAAGTGGAGCCTCAACGGCGCACGCCAGCTGTAAGAGGTTTCCGACAGGCACCTGGGTTTTTCCAGATTCTCTTTCACTGGCACCACCGTCGCGGCGGTCGAGCACCCCGGGATCCTGGCTCGCGTCAGCCATTGAGAAACAGCCTTGGAGGAGGGGGTTTCACGCGCTAGCGCTATCGTTCATGAGGATCCCCACTTCATCTCTCCCCATGGAGTAAGCCTCCCCAAGCGTGCTGCGGCTATCTTAGCCACGCTTAAGGCCTGGGGCTTGGCCTTCACCCCAAAGCTTCGCGCAGGCCGACGTCTATGACCTCACCCTCCGCATTCTCGACCCCATGTGATTCCGCTAGCTCAAGCCACCGCGTTACATTGCTCGGCTGTCTTCCGAGCAACCGTCACGCCAGCCCGCTCCATACTGGAGGTTGGTGAAAGGGCGCTGTCAGCTCACCCTTACATGTTTACCGGTGTATCTTGCGTCGCACGGCGCACGAGGCGCAATCGCCGTCACAGTAGCGCGGCAGGTATCCCGTACTCGTGGTGTCCCCGTGATCAGTGCAAGGCTTCACGTTGCATGTGCTTGGTGCGATCCAGGTGTGCGGCTTGTTAAGCTGACACTGCCCAGCTCCGATCGGCGCCCATATTGCCCTTCCCGCCAGCCGCCTGCATACCGGCACATGTTGGCGCGACCACCGAGGCAGGGAGCAAGGCGCCATTGTACTGCCGCCAAAGGTCCTTCCCGTTGTTTCCTTCTCATAAGTGTCAGCCCATCCCAATCTCCGCCAGGATCACGACTGCAATCTATCTGGAGAGGTGTTCGACAAGTCCAGAAAATGTAGGAAGTCCATCGCCTCAGCCAATGGACGACGTCGGTGGCAAGCCTCGACGAGACCAGCGAACTCGATAGCGTACGCGCGGCGATGTCTTGGGCACCTTGAGTCTCCTTGTCCCAACAATCCAAGCCCTCGCCAAAGCTTGGGACGACATCGAGCCCGGCCCAACTGTCAGAATTGTGGACTTACGTCTCATTCGTAGCGACGCGTTCTTGTGGAGACTACTCCAAAATTTTCTCCAGGTCTCTCCAGGATTCAGCGGGTCAACACACAGACCACAGAAACATTGCTCACGTGCCCGTGTCGCAACTTCGACATGCATGCGCAAGACAAAGAAGATGGAATGCGCGGCCGACGAGCATGCCGGTGCGTTTACCGCAAACAGAGGGGCCAGGTATCGTCCCGCGAGCAGAAACAACTCGCGGCTACCGGCTGTGGCACAGGGTCGCAAATGGTAAACTCATTTTCCCGGTCTTTTCTTAGCGTATAGAATCACACATATCCACAGATCGCTAGTCTTTCCAGTGTCTGTTAACCATCCTCGCACTACATAGGCGCGATATGCACTTCGTGTCTCGAACCCATGAGGCTCTCGTGGAAGTGGGCCTCGGTCTATTGCAACGCTAGACATCGTCCGATACCCCACACCATGGAGCCGTCATACTCCACAGCCTCCGGATTGCCCACTTTGGACAACTAAGCAGCATTTTTTCACTAATCACACTCGAGCCTCATCGAAAGTTACTCCGATGCCGTACTAGTTCCCGCTAGCCGCAACGCTGCGTTGTCGATTTCGGACATGACCGACAATGCTCTAAATGCAATCTTTCCAACTGTCGCCTTCCCAAAGCTCTATCTACATGCTCCAGACCTCGGCCATGCGGTGCGGGATCGAGAACGAACACTTCAATAAGCCGCGCGCCGACTGGTACTACCCTTAAGCCCGCTCTTTGCCCGTCCTGGTGGTAGTAGGAAACGGCTGATATAGGAATATGCACAAACGGAGGGCATAACACATGTAATTTTAGTTGATTACAAGGCCGCTGGATAGACAAACAACAACAGCACTTCTGTTGACCGTAACCCGAGGATCGAGTTCGACCAACAGTCCGGATCATGGTGTGCATCGTAGCTCCTGGTCGTTATGTGGCATTGTCAACAAGTTCTTGTATCCATCAGACTCCGCGAATTTCGAACACTCAAGCAGGGTATCGTCTCCCAAGTATGAAATTCATGTTAACATCTTACTCGGTGCCTTAAATACTGTTCTCATGGTAACGTATACATAACATCGGCTATTGCAACACGGGATAGTACCGGAGGCTGCTTCACCTCGAGTGTTACCACAAACATCGCCAGTGAATACATACAGCATTATGTGCGACAATGCACGGACCTTGAGAGCTCTCACTATGAGCGCCTTCCAGTGTAGGGCTTTTGTTTCGAGAGCAACCGCGCCTTGTATGCAGTAGGTCGAGAATGGCGAACCCTCAACTAGGCAAGAGTAATCTTCAGCCTTCCTTGGCTAACACGATCATCCAGGCACACTCATCTGCAGGTGCTATGGGCTCTGATTGTGTACAGAGAAAGTATCTAGAAGACTACATCCGCCACGCATACGAAGACATACAAGGACTTCCCGACTCCTCATCGCGCATCTTCACCAGATCTCCAGGACCAGAGCTCCGACGCGGCCGCGAGAACCATATCATAATATACCCCGGATCTTTCAATCCACCACATGTAGGTCACACCGCGCTCCTCTGGCACGCCTATCTCAACACAGACGCGAACACCATAGCAGGCATGATCTTCGCTCTTAGAGACGACTTACTAGCTTCCAAAGATCATGTTACGAACAACAAGGGTAAAGCGTTTATACTCTCGCACTACCAGCGCCGCCAGCTTTGGAAAGACGATGTCCTAGGAAGATTTGCGTGGGTATTCCCATCGCACGATGACGACAAGTTGGACCTGTTTATGGCCACTATCAAGCGGTTAGCGAAGGCGGATGGCTTCAAGCTATCCTTTCTAGTAATGTACGGAGGCGATTACATCAGTCAGAAGACTAGGGTCGAGGATCTGTGGGGAGGGGATGACAATACTTGCATCTGCAGTGATATCACACGACCCATGGACTTTGTGCCTGACGATGGTGGTGAACTGTTACAACTGGAAGGCTGTGACAAGTGGAAAACGATGAAGAGCGAAAGTCCAGAATGGACAGAGAAAGAGGAGCAAATCCCGGATTGCTGGCCTTGCTGGCCCTGTGCAAAGATGCGTAAGGTCCTCCCTGAGGGTATCCAGAAGAATGGGTCGTTCTCGTTCGGTAAGTCTTCTTTCTGGTGTCTTTCGACCGCGCCTTGTTGCTAACCTATATACCATCAGACACAAGGGCTTCCAAGCACCCGCTCGCGACTATTTTAGCCCGTTGTCACTTCCCTAATAACACAGTCCGCTGGACACGCTTGCTCCGCAAACGCGGACACATCATCTTCATCCCTAGCAATCGGAACGCCAATTCTCCTTCTCCCTCGGCTTGTCCCACAATCAGTGCCACAGCGATTCGAGGGTCACTTCTGAAACTTGAAGTAGTAACGCAGCAACTTCGCGATAAGCTCAACTACACGGTACCAAACGGCGACTTGCTCTGTATATACTTGGGCTTGGACCGTCTTTGGGCGGAGAACGGAACATATGAGCAGTTGATAGGCGGCAAGCGTTGTGAGAACGATTTATGGTTGGAAAGACTGAGGAAGAAGCAAGCGTACGAGGATGGGTACAGGCGAAGGCGGAAGTCATCATCTCTTTGAATGCCATGCCGCGAATACCTGGAATTGCTCGTGTACGCGCGAACCACCGAGTACTTCTAGAATAGCCTTGAACTGTTCTAGCATCTTGCATGCATGACTCCCATCGTCCGATGTCTATGACCTCACCATGATGCGCGGGCCCGATGACCCTTGTAGAGCTTATCCTAGACGTCTTCCGTACCCTTAGTCGACTGACCTCTCTTCCGCTCTTCCTCTAGCCGTGGCACTATCATCTTCATCGCCACAGTATTGTTCAACCTCCTCCGAATGCCCTCATCGAACACTTGGAATATCCGTTGCGTGCGCGCGCCAAACTCGTCAAAGGTGATTTCTTCGGTCCAGAGCTGCTCCATGAGGTACACATATTCGTTCCAGTTGTCTGGGCCTAGAAGCAATGTTATTAGCGATTGTTCCCAAGAGTTTTGAGCAACGAGCAGTTACCAAGGGCTTTTTGTGTGGCTACCAACTCCAAGGGCACGACGTAATCATTCCTCGGGCATGGTCTCACAGGTTTCGGTGGAATCGCGGACGATACCTGCGGAGGCGCAAACAGACCGATGGGAGGCTGCGTGCTGGCTTTCTGACCGATGTGAGTATTCCCCTGGCTGTTCAGCCCACCAGCTGTGTTATTATCCTGAACTCCATCGTCTAGTCGCGGCCGTCCTCGCTTAGGGGTACCCAACGGCGGCGTATTGAAGGACTTTTGCTGGCGTACTCGCTTGCCTTGTGAGGGGCCGGGAGTGGCCTTTGACTGACTCGTGGATCTCTGTTGCTTCGTTGGCGGTATGTTCCTCGCTATGAATGGTGAGATATCATCTGAAGAGCGAGCTGCCAGCGGCGCCTTCCTCGGAACGTTGTTCGATGGAATACGACTGCCGTTCCAGCCTGTCGGAAGCGGTGCGGGCGAGACGTGAGCGTTGTCTCTTTTAGTCAGAGAGTCATGACGCTGGTCAGCGGAGTTTGCATGACCACTGCCTTGCGTTGGTGTCGCCGGCTGTTTTAGATCGATGCTTCTTCCGCCAGTGTTTGGGTCGACATTGTGCTCACTGCGCGACATGCTGAACGGAAGTGGGTGTTGTCGGCGTCGGGCTGTGAGATCGGGATATGAATTCTCGAATGGATAATTGAGATGCGGAAAAGAAGGCCAGTGAGGTGGTGCCACGGGAGGCAGGAAGGCCTGGCCGCCCGTTGCATTTCGCTCGAACCTGGCTGGGAGATTGGACGGCAACATGTTTGGGGTAGGACCGACGAATGGTCGGTGTTGCGAAGGCATTACTGGGCCTGATAGAGGTCGCTGTCGCGTGTTCTTGATCTGCTCTTGCGCCATGACTGGGTGTGATGGGTAGGAGTGATGGGGCTCGACCGAGTTCTTTGTCGAATGGAAAGAGCGACGTTGGCAATACTGCGCGGCAACGTTGCGACAGCACTGAGTGGGAAAGGAACTTTCGCGTCTCGCTTCCAGATATTCAGAAGTATAGGCAGAAGAAAGAGAGAGATTAGCGTAGGGAAATTGGGGGTGAGGGGCGCTTGCTGTGTTGGGGAGCAGAGCTCAACCTTGAGGAAGGTGCCTTCCATGCCAATTATGAGTGTTACGTCACCATAGGTAATATGAAACTCATTTTGAGCTAGGTTTTGATCTGATGTTCCAAAATTTATTGGCCTCAACGCTCTCTCAATCAAGTGAAGGCCCAGGATCGATCGGTCTGCGAGGAGACCGATGCAGCACCTGGGCAGCCATCAATCCCGCGCGAGCCACCCCAAGACATTCTGGATACAGATATTGATTTTCTGCTCACTCGACATACAGGCCTTAACTACGGCGTACTGATGTGTCCGCCATACGACAGGAACTAGGTGTACAAGGCTTTTACCTGCTGGACACTTTTACCTGACTGCAAACGACCGATACCAAACATCTTAGGCGATGATATCATGGGAATCATTATCTAATACACCCATTCTCATCGACGCGTTCTACATGCAGGTCTAGTATAATTCTGGTCTGCAGGATGTATCTATCTACTCAAAGCTCATGATGTGGGTATGGCCGCAAACACACCACGAACAATGAAGTATAGAGCCTTTGTTCGACACATGGTCGAACTAAGACAAGGAGCATGTATTTCAATATCACCTGTGCTTATTTGAGTTCTTGTGACGACGACAAATGCCACCTTCAGTACCGAGCAATATAACTTTGGACCACACACATGGCAGATCCACCGACTCTACCTGACGGCTCGTCGCAGAAACACAATGAGCTGTTCAATGAACTACCGAACGACAATGTGCGGCGTGGGTATCTGTTGTTCTACGGGGGATACAAGGGCGGAATCAAAGAGGCTGGTGTGCTTTCACGAGTATGGAATAAGATGACATCCGCGGCGCAACAGGAATACATCAGCCGTGCCACATCTGGGGCGGTCAGCTATCAGTCAGATCGCGAGATCGAGAGTAGAAAAGAGTTGAGTAGGGATGATCCCCAAGAAGCGATTGAAGGAGGTCGTATACAGGCAAAACCGGGGGCCCTAGAAAATAATGTGCGCGGCATAGATGGCCCGTTACATGGCGTAGCGATACCTGTTGAGGCTAATAACCCAGAAGCATCGAATGATACAGAAACGTCTGATTACGAGCCTAGTGATGGCGAAATCGCCATAGCAAGGGTCGGTCTTACCGAAGCAGATACTGGTAGAGTAGCACCTCCCCAGACCAGGAAAAGAGGCCACGAAGAAGTACACGACAACGCAATGCAAGCATGGCAATGGTGCAAGACGCTGATGGACTCTCGTACTAGATTCAGTGGGTCCAGAGAGATGCGCACAGCGGTATGCTTGTACGCGCTATGCGATGAAACCGGCAGGATATTGAAAGTTAGTATCTTCATCAACTCCTGCGTCGCTAAACAGTACTAACATCAGTTAGCGGAAGGTATGTAAGAAGATACGCTGTGGTTCGCAAACAATGGTGGACTTTGTCGAAGATGAGTACAATATCAGTCGACAACTGGAGCTTTGTGATCATTGCCATCACATCCAGGCAGCCTCTCAACAAGAGGGTACGCTAATGTATCGCCTGTACTCTGATTACGCCGAGCACGGAGATCTGAGCGAACTTCTCAAAGTTTATTACCAGGAAGAGAATTTGGACAAGCAAGTACCCGAGCAGTTTGTCTGGATGGTCTTCCATGCGCTGGCCGATGCCATATGTACCTTAAACACGGGGGAGTGCAGAGAGACGCAAGACGAAGACAAGACGGCGGAAGGAGCAGAGAATGGCGCAGAAGTCGGAAAAGAGGGACAAAAGACAAAGAAAGGAAAGCGAGGTGGAAACAAGCCAAGGAAGAAGTTCACAGACAGCATGGTGCATTTGGATGTCAAGCCAGCGAACATCTTTCTCAGTACCGCTAAGGAACCCTACCTAGCATACCCACAAACTCTTCTTGCTGACTACGATGTCGTCAAGACGATCTCACGAAGCACAGATGCTTCAGAGGGGAGGAAAGATTGGGGCACGAAAGGATTCCAAGCCCCAGAGATTATCGTAGAGGTCGCGCATCATCATTCTGTCAATGCCAAGACAGATATTTGGTCGCTTGGGATGGTCATCTGGAAACTGATGCATACTACGCTTGGTAAAGCATGGTCGGATCAGATATGCGAGGACAGCATCAAAGCTTCATTCCAATTTGCAGAAGGAAATACGTTCACATCGACGGACATCCCAGGTTACGATGCGATGTATTCCAATGCCTTGCACCAACTGGTGATCGACTGTCTCCAGATCAACCCGGAAAAGCGACCAGGTTACGAGACTCTGAGGAAGAAAGCGAAAGCGGAGTTTGAGAGATCGCAGAGGCGGTTAGGCCCGGTATCGTCGGGTGATAAAATGGGTAGTGATATTGCCGGTCACCTCCGAGTTCTCAGGAAAGAAGAGTTGGAGTATAAACTTGGGGATATGTTTGTCGAACCTTTGAGCAAGAGGAGAAAAGCTCAATCGCACGTCGAACAAAATGCCGATGTATGACATATTTGACCGGCATTGCCAGATCCTTTCCTCGAGGAACGCATCGGCGCTTACCAAACTCCAGTAGAAAATGTGACGCGTGTGGCTGTTGTTCGTTATAGGAGCCCGATAGTTTATTTTCAATGGAATTCCAGTGGTTCGATATAAAGCGGCGACGGGTGCATCCTGCGCGACGTTTTCTTCTTCTTCTCTCTCTCTGCCTCATTCTGCTCTGCTTCATTTTATCAGCAGCATACACATTCGGTCGCCGGTGCCCGCCCCAACACAATTATCGCGGTAAGGAGCACGGCACGACCCAAGCTTTGACCAACACACTAGTGTTGGTTATATCACTGCCTTTCCACTGGCTAACTTATTGGACAAAGCGCCCCGCGTTTGCCTAGATACTCGGTGTTTGAGACTTCTAGGGTTTAACCTGCGGGCAAGATTATTGTCGCAAAAGCGTCGTATCGGCTCCGCAGTTACAACGCTCATAGTCAATCAATTTTTGATCACCTTCATCGAGCTGAGTAACATGACGACTATAAGCATGTTACTGTGCCTAGTCGTCTGCAGCCTGCTGGTTCATAAGGTCTGGAAGCGCCAAATGCAGCGCGAGGTAGGCGTGGTTGATAAAATGAAAGATGATGCTGCTGACAATCACCAGGAAGAAGACCGATATGCCGCGCAGATGGGTTGCAAAGCACCGCGGAGGTGGGCAGCAAAATGGCCACAAGGCTTGGACCTGCTACTCAAGGCGGGGCAACATGCAAGGGCGCAGACCATTTTACAGTTTTTCTTAGACGTAGTAGACTCTAGCGGTCCGACGCATGAGCAGCAGTTGCGTAAGTCCACAAAGACACATCGAAACCCGCGGCGTTGACACTGCATAGTTGGAGCTCGCGGTATCAACACGGTTGAACCACGCAACATTGAAGAAATACTCTCTACCCAGTTTGAAGGTTTGTCAAAGTTGAATGGTTAGGATGACCGCTGGTATTGACGTTTGTGGCAGACTTCAGTCTTGGGCTCCGACCCAAGCATTTTGATCCATTGCTGGGATGCGGGATTTTTACTCAAGACGGTGCAGCATGGAGACACTCGCGGGCGTTACTCCGTCCCCATTTCACTTCCAATCGCTACCAGAACTTCGAGGAGATGAAAAAGTCGGTCGAAAGCCTCATCGATCGAATTCGCCCCGACAGCGTTGTTGATCTCCAACCGTTATTCTTTCGCTTGACTTTCGACACGACGACGTTCCTGCTTTTCGGCAAAACATTGAGCTCTTTGCAAAGCAGCGACATTGCTGGACAAGAGTCTGAGTTTGCAGCAGCCTTTAATCTGGGCCAGGATTACTTGTCGCATCGTGGCAGGCTGGGAGACTTGTACTGGCTTGCGAGTACTCCCGAGTTCTGGCAAGCTTGCAAGACTTCTCACCGCTTCGTTGACGACGCGATTCAGAGAGCACTGGACAATGCAGAGACTACGGAACCCGATAAAGTAGAAGCCGAGGACAAGAAGCATTATGTGTTTGTCGACGCGCTCATCCAAGAGACTCGGAACAAGAAGGAACTTCGCGACCAGTGTCTCAACGTTTTACTGGCGGGCAGAGACACAACAGCATGCTGCCTCACCTGGACCTTGCGCTTGCTGGTCCGCCACCCTAAAGTTTTGGAAAGGTTACGTTCGGAAATAGGGGCAGTAGTAGGCCTCGGACAGCATGCGCCTCGACCAAGTCGAGTGGATTTGAAGAAGATGAGGTATCTTGATCTCATTTTGAAGGAGGTACTTCGCCTCTACCCATCCGTGCCGGTCAACTCTCGTGCAGCATTGAAGACGACGACACTTCCTGTTGGAGGAGGCCCAGATGGGAAGTCGCCGATATTAGTCAGGAAAGGCGAGGCTGTCGGTTACTGCGTATACGCTATGCATCGACGTACAGACATCTACGGCGAAGATGCACTCGAGTTCCGTCCTGAGAGGTGGGAGGATGGATCACTGTTGCGAGATGTGGGGTACGGGTATCTTCCCTTCAATGGCGGGCCACGAGTTTGCCTGGGTCAAGAGTTTGCCCTGCTGGAGGCGGGATATACCGTAGCGAGGTTGGTACAAATTTTCCCTTCCATGACTGTTCCGAAGGATGACCCTGTTGTCCCTACTGGCAGGGAAAAGCAGACCTTGACGTTGGTAGTTGCTTCTGGAGATGGATGCCGTGTACACATGCGCTCATAGATCGAGACAAGTTCTCTCTCCAGGACCGCTTGTACACTCTGAGCCGTGCATAGTCTTAAACGTACCCTCCCCATGTATCCCTAGCTTCCTAATTGCTAAGTCCACCTATATCCGCATCGCCCAAGAGAAAGGGCGCGGTATTGCCCATGCTGAGGGTGTATTCGGCGAAATAGCAGCGTGCTGCAAGACTGTACTCGTAGCGTGGAGGGCATAACAGCGAAGTTGTGGAGGGTTGGGCGCGTGGTAAGCTCGGTGTGTCGTGGACGACGGTCGGGATTATACGCGTCGGTCGAGGAGCGCGATGCTGATCTGTTGCAACAGATTCATGGCGGAAAACTTTCGGAAGTCGACGACTGTAAAGCTTGAATAGGGAGAGAGCTTGCGATGGTTATGAGTCGACACTTCGACATTTCGTCTGCTATGCGTCGTCAGACTTGCTCTGTAGCTTTGCTCCCCTTCATTCCGGTCACCGGGGCGTTCATACCGCCCGGGTCGTTTATCTCACAAAGATCTCGAGTGGGTAGTCATCTATGGATCGTAGCGAACCGCGGAACAAGACCGGAGTAAGGCCTCGTTCGGAATGGCGATTGCCCCTAATTTTCGTGCTTAGCCAGGCGTTGTCAGGTCGCATGTTGGAGCATAAGATATGCTAAGCGGTTGCCGAGGGAATGAACACGTCTGACGGTAGGAGTAATGCATAGTAGTGGCGACCTCGCGTGGCGTGTCCCACGTTGGAGATGAGGAGTGCACATGTCGAATCCGCTATCAAGCATCGCGACGCATAGTTGCGACTGGTTGTACACGAGGCGCGCGATTGTAAGAGCTAAACATCGGTTGTGGGGTCGCAGTCGATGCCGGGTCCATCGAGCTAAGAGCGCGTTCCGCGCTTCGGACGCGTGTTTTAACGCCAAGCCTGGCACATGTCCGTTCTGTCGCTCCCGGCCACCCTCAATCCTTCGTCCCCTCGCTACCAGCTGCCCGAACAAGCTGCGACCGTATATTGTGTACAGCTCGCTGTCACATCCGTTTCCGAATCGACGAAATTCCTTCCGCGATGGCACCCTCGATCGTTCCTGGCCTCGGCAAACTCCCCGCCTTCACGGTGCATTGATTGCTGCATGCGTCGCTTACTGCATCCATGGATGTAAGGCTCCACTCTAGATGGCGTGGCAGGCCTTGAGCAACATATCCACCTGATCGCGGCGCCTGTCACAAATATATCGCCTTGCTCAGCCCGCTTTGTGAGGGGGAAAGAAGGTTTTACTCCGGCTGTGCTTCATGCATCGTTAGCACAAGGCTCATGATATGCCGCTTCTAGAGCACGTACCCTATCGTCGTGCGCTCGTGGAGGAGTTCAAAAACCACCGTCACAGTCGTGCAGGAACCTGGTTGTCACTTGTAGGATCCGCACATGTTTTCAGCCAGAGGCGATTGGATTCTTACTATCGATACTACATGCCAAATGTAGTTGCTTTCATAACAGCTCCGACGGGAATGCCACAACAGTCTTCATGGGTTACTTTATGAAAGGCCCGTCGCACCGAAACTACCACACAACGTGCAGGACACGCATGGCAGGATTTACGCTTGTAGGGGCACATATTTCGTCGCGCCAATAAACGATACGTGGCAGCGTGCCGCCCCACGCCGCCTATCTCACGGGTAAGATGCGAACTGTATTAGTTCCTCTTGAGTTAGCAACTGTGGGGAACCTAGACTCAGCATGGTAGGCATCCAGGGCCTTGACGGGGCAGATGTACCAGAACGGTAAGTCACCTCTGCGACGTAAACGCCCCGTCCCGCATAGAATGGTTCAGCGGGGATGCTGGTTTTCAGGTCCCTTGAAGAAGCGCTGTACCCGTCTTGTTCCCACTTGTCAATTCGACTTGAACTTCATTCTAGCCCCAATGGCTTCCACTAACAGCAATCTTTACTCAACGACCAAGTATCTGGCTCAAGAACGAACCCAGAACACCAAAGTTCCAGGTGGCAGTCGTTCAACCACGCTATCCGGAGTCAAAGATGCCGATTTCGTTGCAATCGGCCTTGGAGGCGCAAACATGTTGGCGATGCTGTGGGCTATAGCTATGGGCCGCCGTGCCGTCGGTGTTGAACTTCGTGGCGACCCGTTTCTAGGAGTGCACTGGAACATTCGTGAAGACATGTACCATCAGCTGGGACTTATCGACAAGATGATGTTGGATCGATACGGACTGGACAACCTCCCGAAAAGACTGGATGGAACACTGCTTAGTCTGGCAGATTTGTTCTATCATCCCATGACCAAATCTAGGGACATAATACCCGGAGCTATCATCGAGGGATACGAGAAGGAACTCCATATGGTCGGCGAAATCCATAACATTGAATACATCGACGACCGCTGGAAGAATGGCAAGCCGCATCGCACTGTCACCACTGTACATCCGCCCACTATTCCGGAGCACCCGTGCCCGACCAAAATCCGTACCGATATGCGAGAAGTCCTCGACGGGCCTTCGACATGGCAAGCTGCGGCATTTTCCATCCAGCTTCTTCTCCGCCGCTATCTCGAGGCGCTCGAGAAGATTGATCTCAACGCTAGCAAGACGCCCAGATGCCGCCTCTTCACCAAACACCGCGTGGTACAGGACGGAAGTGGTCTAGTCCATCTTCCGTGTGGCCGTGTCCAAATTCGGATCGAAGAAGTTACCGAAGTTCAATATCACAACGACCTCCAACGAATCCGCACGCCAGGAAGCGACTTTATCGATCTCGGGGTTCCAGAGCTGTTCAGCGTCGCCACAGGC